AATAATTTCTAATATACGGCGATATCTCCAATCAGAAAATAAATTGCCACAAGTCTGAAGCCCTTAATACTTCACTTTCCTCTAAGATTTTGCAGAAAACACAATGTATTTGCCCTTTCCAATGCGTGTCCAAGGCCCTTAAATATTTGGGAGTATGGCTTTCACCAAACTTCACTGATCTTTATCAACTTAACTTTAAACCCATCCTCCATAGACTTGCCTAGATCCTGGAAACTGGACTACTAAACCCTTCTGTTGGTTCGGCCGAACAGTGATAGTAAATATGACCATATTGCCTAGAATATTATAACTTTTTTCATACATTGCCTACTGTCCTACCAAAGGGTTTTTTAAGCAACTGAATGCTAAAGTCCGCAAATTTCTCTAACCATGCAAATGTTATGTAAAAGACCATGCATCAGTCTGAAATTACTGGCCAAACCAAAAGCTGCAGGAGGTATTGGACTTCCCAGTTATTTGCGCTATAATTACGCACACAACCCATTTTCTCTTGGTAATGTTGCAGGTACATTCCCACCTAGATATGATTCTCGACAATTTAGGATTATAGCAAAGGAGATGTTCCATATATTTAACTGTAGAAAATTTTGTCAGACCAAAGAACACCTTTTACATGAGTGTCAGTTGCTGAAAATTACTCAGCTACACACCTCAGTGTATCACACTATACTGATGGACTGGTAGAACAGTTCGAAAGAACCCTGAAAGGTATGTTAAAAAAATGTGTTTGAGAATGGAAATCACTGGGAATTCCTATAACTATTCTTAATGTATGCAATAAGAGAAGTGCCACAGTCCCCCACAGGTTTTTCCCCATTTGAAATGTTGTATGGTTGACATCCCCTGGAACTGGACCCACATTCACAGGTGACATATTGGAGAGCAGTGGCTGTATTCATGCAGTCCCTGCGCCCCAATTGATATCAATGGGACTACCTGCACGGAGATACATAGAACACCTGTACATCACTGTACAGGTAAACACAGCCTCTTATGGGCGTACACTGTAGTATGCCCTGTGTGAATGAGGTCTTATGTCTTTTTTTTTTTTTAATGTTTTGTAGAGGGGTCTAAATTTTTGTTTAAAACTAGAGTGTACTTTTGAAACATCAGCTTCCTGGTTTTCCTGCCAAAGCTTGATTGTACATGCTGCAGATAAAAGGTGATTGGCTACCATGCACAGCTGCACCGGATTCCAGTGCTACAGTAAATCTCCCCCACAATCAAAGGCATAACTAGACCCTTTATTATGGTCCCACAGTTGGACCCTTTCACATGTTCTGCAGCTGGCCTCCTTCCTGCCCTTACATTAGAGTCCCCCCTTACATTAAAGTCCCCAGCATTCTCAGAGCCCCCTTTACATCAGAGTCTGCAGGGTTCCCCCTTACAGTGCAAGGGAGAACTCTGCGGACCAAGATGTAAAGGGGAACACTGCTGTGGACAGTGATGTAAGGGGAAATGCTGTGGACTATGGTGTAAAGGAGAAATCGGTGGTAAGAAGGAACTCTGTAAGACTTCTCCTTAGCAGAGTTCACCTGTAGGGGTGAAATCTGCTAAGGAGAGATGCTAAGAACTCTGATATTGGGAGGAGCTCTGGTGACCAGGATCCACCTTATACCAGAGTTCCCCTTTACACCAGAGTCTGCAGAGTTAATACACTAAGGTATAGGGGTTCACTGATGTAATAGGGGAGTGAAGATACTGATATAAGAGGGAACCTTTACATCAGTGCCCCCCCTTACCTTAGAGTCTCTATTCCCCCCTTACTTCAGTGACTTCCCCACAGAGTGACTGACTTACTGCCACACAGACTCTGCCTATCCTGGAGCTGTCACACACTGACCTCTTAAAGGCACACCCAAAACATCGGTACCTAGGGCACATTGTATTGCATGCCAAATTACATGGTGCTGCAGCACCATGCGGCTTGGTGTGGCATGAAAAAAAAAAGGATTGGGAGTCCTTTTCCTGCATTTCTTGTGGGTTGTCAGAGCCTGGGATCAAACCTGGTCCTTCTGCAGTGAGAGGCAATGTCTCTTCTCACTGAGCTATCTGGAATGCTGGACAGCTCCCTTGACAATTCTTGGATAATCCTGCCTTGTGCCTTGAAAACTCTTGAACCTTGAACTCCTTGCTACTCCCATGAACTTCCTTATAAAAGCCATGTCCATGCACTTCCTCCTTGCCAGATTATTGTGCCTTTCCAGCCAATATCCCGCTACTGTTCCCTGCTGCTGTCTACACCTCCGCTACTGACCTTTGGCTTGTTCCTGACCATGATTTCGCCTCATCCTAACGTACTACGATTGATCTGCTACCATTTGTGACCGACCCTTGGCTTGTGACGGACTCTGCTTTCATCTGATCCCTAACCTGTTGATCCGCTGTCGGTTACCAGTCTGCTCATTCCCTGGTGGGGTGATCCTGAGATCTGCGACCTGGTATTAACACGCAGCCCAATCCATCTCCACCATTAGGAGCTCTGGTGAAAACTGGTTAATACTTAGACCCCGCACCTCAGGTGAGCCTGCGTCATTCCCAGGGGGATCCGCTGGTGTACCTATCCTGCTGGTTCCAGGTAAGCCTTTTACTGCTATAGCAACTGGTCTCTGAACCTGACCTTACAACGTGACATGGGTAGGGCAACCCATTAAAATGAATTGGTTGCCCTACCTGTGATGCACATGTGCAATTGTGCATGCACAGATCTGAAACGAGCCTCATATCACGATTCCATTGTTACATCCTCAGTCCCCCTTCACATCACAGTCACACCTCTGCACATTACTGTCCTCAGCCCCCCCCCCCATTGCAATTTTCAGCCCCTCTATTACCGTCCTCCACCCCCTTCCTCTCATTATTGTCCCCCAATTAATGACCTGAGCCCCCCAATTACTATCCTAAAACCACCCATTACTATCCTTAGCCCCCCCACTTCTGTCCTCAGTGATCTTATTGCAGTCCTCAGCCCCACCATTACTGTCCTCATTCCCCCCTCATTAATGTCCTCAGCTTCCCCACATTACTATCCTTGGGCTCCATTACTGTCCTCAGCCACCCCTCATTAATGTCCTCATACCCCCATTACTGTCCTTAGCCCCCATTAATGTCCCCAGTTCCCCCCCATTACTGTCCTCAGATACTATTGCGGTTCCCTCTCTGTCCTCAGCCCCCCCTCCATTACTGTCCTCAGCCCCCCCTCCATTAATCTCCTCAATGATCTCATTACTGTCCTCAGTCCCCCCATTAATGTCCTCAGCCCTGCTTCATTAATGTAATCAGTTACCCCATTACTGTCCTCAGCCCCCCCTCCATTACTGTGGCTATGCCAGTGCCCACAATGTCTCATTTTTGAAACAGAAAGGAACTGAGAACATAATACTAATTCTTTTTCTCTGAAGCCCCATCTGCACTGCAGAAGAATGAACAGACATCTCTTTATGGAGGATTAATATTCATTCACGCACGGGAGCATGGTAAACACCAGGGGTGGACTAACCATTCTGGCATTCGGGCAATGCCCGAGGGCCCTGGGTCAGTAGGGGGCCCATGAGAGGATCACTGTCAGAGTCAGTGTGGGGAGCGGAGGAGGAGGCAGTCTCAGATCCCCACCCAGAAGTAGCTCACCTGTAAATTCACGTGGTGGCAGAGGGAGTCGGGTTATGAGTCCGAACTCTGTGCTGGTGATGGAGCTGGTGGGCAGTGGGAAGGTGAGAGGCATATCATCCATGCTGCAGGGTGTTCACCACACACACCCCAGCTGCCCCCATTGATGATATGTATCAGGAACAAAGTCGGAGGTGATCGGTGCAGGGGAGGGAGAGTGACAGCACCGATCTCCCTGCATGGATTTCAATGAAAGCCGGGGGAGGGAGAGACATCCATGCAGGGAGATTGGTGCTGTCACTGTCCCTCCCCTGCACCGATCATCCCTGACTGTCATCAGATTTCCCTCCTGGGCCCCCCTCTGTGTTCCTCAGTCCCCCATCCCCCCTCACAGGTCTCTGATGCCTCTTCTTCTCTGACAGTGTCCATCCCCTCCCCCCATCCTCTGCGGCAGAGTAGAGGAGGGAGGATCTGCTCTGTCTCCCCTGTCCAGATCAGCCGGAAGCTCTGTAATGCTTCTGAATATACCAGATCAGTGTTCTCTCTCTCTCCCCCCCTCTCTCTCTCCCTCCCCTCTCTCTATCCCTCTCCCTCCCCCTCTCTCTCCCTTCTCTCTTTCTCTCCAATCCATTCCTTCCATCCTTCCTCCATCCATTCCCTCCCTCCCCTCCCTTTTCTTCCTTCCTCCATCTCCTCCCTTCATTCTTTCCTACCTCCCCTCCTTTCATTCTTTCCTCCCATCCCTCCTTTCATTTCCTTCCTTCCTCCCTTACTTCCTTCTTCCCTTCCTTCATGCCTTCCTTCCTCTTTCCCTCCCTTCTTTCCTTCCTTTCTTCCTTCCTTCCTTCATCCATTCCCTCCCTCTTTTTTTTCTTCGTTTCTTCTTCCCTTCCTTCCCTCCCCTTCCTTCATTCCTTCCTCCATCCATTTCTTTCCTTCCTCCATCCATTCCCTCCCTCCCTTTTCTTCCTTCCTCTATCCCCTCTCTTCATTCTTTTCTTCCTTCCCTCCCTCTCTCCCTTCCTTCTGCTCTCCCTCCCTCCTCCTTCTTTCCTTTCATCCCTCATCCATTTTATCCCTCCTTTTTCTTCCTTCCTTCCTCCCCTTCCTTCATTCCTTCCTCCATCCATTTTCTTCCTTACCTTCATTCCTTCCTCTATCCCCTCCCTTAATTTTTTCCTTCCCTCCCTCCTCGTCCTTCAATCATTCCTTCCTTCTTTCCCCCTTTCACTCCCCTTCCTTCAATCCATCCTTTCTTTCTCCCTTCCTCCCTCCCTTCCTTGCTCCATCCCCTGCCTTCATTCTTTCCTCCCTCCCCCCTTTTTACCGGGTCATCCAGGCATTAGATAGTCTGGCTCGACAGCGGGCATCGGGTCATCTGGCATCAGGTCATCTGGCTCAACAGCGGGTATCGGGTCATCTGGTTCGACAGCGGGCACCGGGTCATCTAGCTCGTCAGCGGGCATCGGGTCACCAGGCACGACAGCGGGCACCGGGTCATCAGGCATCGGGTCATCTGGCTCGACAGTGGGCACCGGGTCATCAGGCATTGGATCGTCTGGCTCGACAGCGGGCACCGAGTCATCTGGCATAATAGGACCATCAGGCTGGGTAGACACATCAAGCTGGGTAGGGTACACTGGGTCATCGGGCATCAGGGTATCAGGCTGAACCACGGAAGGCGGGTTCTCAGATGCAGGCTGACCGGTTTGGATACTGGCAGGATGGTATTGGTTGGAAAGAATTTTCGCTTTTTTCCTGGTTTTAGTTACTGGAGCGCAGGAAGTAAGTGCAGATTTGTAAGTGGATAGAGCAGCTGTAGGCAGAGAAGAGCTGAGGGATGGAACAAAGGAGGGAGCAGTTGCTACAGAGGACTTCTTTACAGGGTTAAAGATAGGATAGGTGCAGAGAGTGGGAGCAGGGGACTGATATGTGGTAGTTAGCAGAGTATACTGGGCCGTCACTGGGGGCAGGCTGTCGGGGATGCTGGAAGAGTGCCTTGAGCAGAGGAATGACGTTGCAAACTGACTGAGGCTGGGTGCAACAAGTCTGACCATGTCTGCAGTATGGGTTGAACAAAGCTCAGCTTACACAAAGCCTGTCTGGTCAAAGACTGCACTGCGTTTATACAATCTCTTAGCACCTGTTGTGAACATGCAGAATAACGCTCCAAGAAGTCATCCACATCATCCTCCAATAACCACACCAGGGACTCTACCTGGTCGGCACTAAATGGCGGCAAAAATTCATCCTTGCATTCGGGGTACCAGATGAAGCCAATTCTGCACAAATCTGAATCAATGGTTGCACCTCAGAGAACTCTGTCCCCTGATCTACTAGGCAATGAGCGATCCTTATGCATTCTAGTAGTTGATCCCGGGTATACTCCTTCAGAGAGTCTGATAAGCATAATCTCTGTCATCAAAGACCAGCAGAGACAAATACACCACCTCATCAAGATGCATCCTTCCCAGCAACAATAAGCCAAGATGGCTTCCCTGTGCAGCCACTTCTGGTCAGGAATGGCCTTGGTGTTCTGTTAGGGATCCGAGTATGACCAGAAATGTGTGGACTGACACAGGGAAACACAGGCTCCAGGTATAGTATAAACAATACAATTTATTAAAGACTAAACAATACATAAACGCAGTGCAAGACTAAACATAAACACAGTGCAACCAAACCTCCAACAGATAACAATAAGAACAATCCTAAACGTAGTCAGGCAGGCCGGGTCGGTAGCAAACGGGCAGGCAAGGTACAAGGAGCAGGCGGAAGCATAGTCAGGAATAGCCTGAGGTCAGGACAGGCAGAGTTCATGCAGAGTCAGGATTAAAGCAGAATCAGGATCAGGATCAGGCAGGAAGCAGACAGGATGCAGGTACAGGGGCTCATGGGAAACATACACCAAGGCCCTGATCACAGGCCTGGCCATTCCTTAAATACACCTGCTGTAATCAGCCTCAGGTGATGACTCATTGCAGGAGTGAGCCTCTGGTTGCTGAGAGCACCCGCTGGCCAGCCCTGGTACTGCAGCCCACAAGGCAGGTGAGTCAAACCTCCACTGGCAAGTCCATTCCTGACATCCTCCCTTCTTTCTTTCCTCCCTCCCTTTTTTTCTTTCTTTCTTTCTTTCTTTTCTTCCTTCCTTCCTCCCTTCCTTCCCTCCCCTTCATTCATTCCTTCCTACATCCATTTCCATCCTTCCTCCATCCCCTTCCTCCATTCCCTCCCTAAATTAATTCCTTTCCTTCCTTCCTTCCTTCCCTCCCTCCCCTTCCTTCCCTCTCTCCCTTCCTTCCTTTTGCTCTCCCTCTCTCCCCTCCCCTTCTTTTCTTCCTTCCTTCATCCATAATCTCCCTTCCTCCCTCTCCTCCTCCCTTCACTCCCCTTCCTTCATCCATTTTCTTCCTTCCTTCTTTCTTTCCTCCATTCCCTCCCCTCCCTCCCTTTTCTTCCTTACCTTCATTCCTACCTCTATCCCCTCCCTTCATTTTTTAATTCCCTCCCTCATCGTCCTTCAATCATTCTTTTCCTTCCTTCCCCCCCTCCCCTTCCTTCAATCCTTCCTTTCTCCCTTCCTCCCTCCCTTCATTCCTTCCTTCCTCCATCCCCTCCTTTCATTTCCTTCCTTCCTCCATTTTTTTTGCTTCCTTCCCTCCCCTTCCTTCCTTCCCTCCTTTACCTTCATTACTTCGTCCATCCATTTTCTTTCCTTCCTTCATTCCTTCCGTCCTCCATCCATTCCCACCCTCCCTTTTATTCCTTCCCTTTTCTTCCTTCCCTTCCTTCCTCCATCCCCTCCCTTCATTTCTTTCCTCCCACCCCTCCTTCCTTCCTTCCTCCCCCCTTCCTTCCTCCCCCCTTCCTCTATCTATTTTCTTCCTTCCTTCCTTCCTCTATCGCCTCCCTTTGAAATTTTTTCATTCCCTCCCTCCTCGTCCTTCAATCAATCCTTCCTTCCCCCCTCCTCCCCTTCCTTCAATCCTTCTTCCTTTCTCCCTTCCTCCCTCCCTTCATTCTTTCCTTCCTCCATCCCCTCCCTTCAATCTTTCCTCCTTCCCCTCCTTTAATTTCCTTCCTTCCTCCCCTCCTTCCTTCCCTCCCTTTCCTTAATTCCTTCCTCCATTCATTTCCTTCCTTCCTCCATCCATCTATTCCCTCCCTTTTTCTTCCTTCCTTCCTCCCTTCCTTCCCTCCGTTACATTCATTACTTCGTCCATCCATTTTCTTTCCTTCCTTTCCTTGCTTCCTTCATTCATTCCCTCCCTCCCTTTTATTCCTTCCCTTTTCTTCCTTCCCTTCTATCCTCCATCCCCTCCCTTCATTCTTTCCTCCATCCCCTCCCTTCATTCTTTCCTCCATCCCCTCCTTTCCTCCTTCCTTCCTATCTCCTCCATCCATTCCCTCCCTCCATTCCTAACTTTCCTCCCTTCCCTCCTTTTCCTTCATTCCTTCCTCCATCCATTTGCTTTCCTTCCTTCCTCTATCCATTCCCTCCCTCCCTTTTCTTCTTTCCCTTCCTTCCTCCATCCCCTCATTTCAATCTTTCCTCCCCACCCCTTCTTCACTCCTTTCTTCATCCATTCCCTATCTCCCTTTTTATTCCTTCCTTCCTTCCCCTTCCTTCATTTTTCTTCATTCCTTCCTCTATTTTATTTATTTCCTTTATTCCTTCCTTTCTCCATCCATTCCCTCCCTCCATTTTCTTCCTTCTCTTCCTTCCTCTCACCCCTCCTTCCTTTCTTTCTTTCCCCTTCCTTCCTCTCCTCCCCTTCCTTCCTCTCCTCCCCGTCCTTCCTCCATCCATTCCCTCCCTCCCTTTTTATTTCTTCCTTCCTTCCTTCCCTCCATGCATTGCCTTCCTTCCGATATAAGGGGGTACAGATTCTGTTTATTCATCCCAATCTAATGACTGCCCAACATATACTAGTGTCCCCTGTTCACTCCCTACTGACACTGTCCACTGCCCCCACAAAATCATTGTGAAAAAAATAATACAATAATAATAATACATAATACAAAAAAAAATATAATACTAATAAAAATGAAGACCTACTGACACCACCTACTGACACCATCCTACACATACTATCCACAGCCATACACTCCTCTCCCTGTATATACTACCCACTGTCATACACTCCACACTGTACATTCCGTACTTAACATTACCTCATTTTGCACTATATAAGTCATCTCAGACACTATTTAACCACACCCCTTTTAAGCCATGCCCAATTTTTTGCGTAATTTAAACACACATCACTCTCTCTCATCCCTTCCTCTCTCTCTCTCTCACTCCTCCTCCTCTCTCCTCTCGCACACACCTCCTCTTTTTCACACTCTAACTCCACTCTCTCTTTCACTTCCCCCACATGGCAGCCATTTTTAAACCTGGAAGTGCCCAGTGGCTTCAACGGAAAGAAGCCGGGAACATTCATGCAGGCCTTGCTGCAGTAAATATTTAAATGCCCCTTCTATGCAGCTGAGCTGCAATATGTAGGTAGGACGTTGTGTGGGTGTGGCTTGAGTGTAGGCGGGAACACAGGGGGCCCCATTATCTCTTACTGCCGGGGGTCCCATGAGTTGTCAGTCCGCCCCTGGTAAACACATATTACTATGTTTCAGTGATGAATAACCACAGGAGCAATCTGTATTATTTGCTCACTGTGCTCATTCAGGGAGGGGCTGGTAAACATGACATGTTTACCAGCCCTCTCCCCCTCCCTTTCCACTTGCTTGACACTGATCTCCCACCGCAGCAGAAGCTGCATCTTACGGGAGGGCCAGGAGAGAGAGGAGGAGAAGCTGTCCAGCAGTGAGGGGGTGCTGGGGGATCAGTGTGGGAGGGGGCTAGTACAGGGGCAGTCAGAGCAGTGGGTGGGAATCTATTTGCAGGGTTAAATCCTCCTGTGGCTCCCCTGCACCACCCAAAGAGAAGAGAAGACAGCAGCTGCAGGGGAGCCAAAGGGGATTAGTGCTACGGGGAATTGGTTGGATTATTCCTGGTGTGTAGTGTGTGACTGGGCACAGTGGTCTTCCCTCCCCTCAGACCCATGTGCCCCACACACATATTATGACATGCCACTGACTCAGGCTTGTGCTACCCACTATAAATTGGGGAATATGTTTTGTCATTTATTCCTATTTGCAGCGCCATTCTTCACTCACCTAGTGTGCAACACTTTTCACTGACAAAGTGAACAAACACCCACTCTATTCGCCATTCTATGTAATTTAATTATGTCACTGTTATGGAATCACTGCATGTTTAATAAAGCCCGTCTATCATCATTGACGTGTTGGTCTGTTGTTGGCCAGTTACAGGTGGCACATCACTGGAAATGCTCGGAGAACTCAACATTTAAAGTAGGTCCTGTGGAGGTGGTGCTATAGGCAGCTATCATTAAATGTTTTTACAATTGAAACTATTTAATTAGTTCTTCTCTGTGCCATTCGTTTCTTTCTTCATATTTTAGAATTATGCAGAAAGCACATTTTTAGTTCCTATTATTTGATAATCAGAGCACCATGCTCCTAAGTTTAATGATCAATGATTGTTACATAGTGCTGTCATATTTCTCAGAACAGCACAAATTATATGATTCAAAGCACTGCAGAACTGAATATATTTCAACATGGTGTAGATTGTCTATAAAGAAAAGGTTTTATGGACACATCATATGAATATTTTTGAATCATAGTATTCAGTTAATGTTATCTAATACATTAA